GGGGGGAAAGATGAATATGACCCGCCTGGGCGGCCTGGCTCGGTCGACATCTCTGCCCCTCGATGCTCGTGTGCTGAGGTGTTGCTGCCTCAGTCCTGGCAGGAGCAGCCTTCCTTGTTGGGCTGGAAAACATCCCGCGAAGAAGGATCGAGGTGGGAACCGGATCTCTCTCCTCACCGGCGAAGTCAAATTCTTGCGAGCCTGAGCCCGAACAAGCCTTTGGGTGGGGGGAAAACACCGCGATGGGGTGAAAAACACCCCCCTTCTCGTGGGGTGTGAGGAAATCCTTCCCATCCCTGCCCCGAGACAAACGTGGCCAAGGGGGTTGTGATAGCCCTGCCGCGGTCGTGCCTGAGACGTAGAGGAGAAATATGGTGTGGATTTTCTTTTCTTTTCTTTTCTTTTCTCCTTTTTCCCCCTCGATAGTTTGCGGGGAGGTGGTTGTTCCCCTTTGCTTAGCGTCGGCGCGGGGTCGCAAGGATGCGACTCGTCCTCTTTCAGGTGGCGTCGGGAGGCCGAAACCTCTGAGGCCGACGGGACCTCTTGAAGCAAGTGGTAAAAGATAAATAACACAAAGCACCAAAGACTGGTGCTTGTTTTTAAAACAGGACGGAGGCTGTAAACCAGCCGGGTGAGGAAAACCTGCCTCCAGCAGGTCCCTGGGAGGTAAAATACCCTCCGTGCAAAGCAAAGACCCACGTGGTCTCTCATCTCTGTGTTAAACTTCCTCCTTAACCGTGCTGCGGTCGAAATCCGCTGTTCCTCGCGTCGGCACGGCGCGGATCGGCCCCGACTTTTTCCCCTAGCGTTGCTAAAATGATCCCGTGGGAGATCGCTTCTCGTCCAAAGTGGGGCACTCGGGAAAGGTAAGAGAAGAGAGCAAGGGGGTTTAGACTAATCCTTTAGTCCTGGATTACGTCTGTGTTTCATCTGGTTGTCGCTGGGGCTTTCATCTACAAGGCGGCAAGGTATTTCCTGGCTTTCCTCAAAAATAAGTGTGTTTTGGTAAATCGGAGTCGTCCCGTTGCCCTGATTTCCCCCTTTTACACCGAGACAGGAGGAGCCGCTCTAACCCCAAGCTGCTTTTTGACCCTTTGCAGGGTCTGAGTGGAGGTATACACAGAGATGCC